GCTGGGGGCCTGGCGAGGTTTCCAGACGCCTCAGCAGCCTCTACTCCGGGCTGACCCTGCTGGGGCCGCCTCGAGCCTCCCCACATGCCCTGGCCCCGCTTGCCGGGCTGCTCCTGGGGGCCCCAGGAACCCGCTGGTTTTCCAGTCCAGGGAGGGATGGTCGCTGCCTGTGGGGCTTCTGCTTCCTCAGGCTGGCTCTCCCCTGGGCCTTCTGCCCCCCGCCCATGGCCAGTTCGCTAGCCCAGCAGGCGGAATCTAACCTGGGCCCTCTGGGGCTTAGTGGTGAGCCTCAACTGCTTGAGCCAAAAGCCTCCTGGCTCTTAGCTAAGGCAGTGGAGAGCAAACTCGTTCTTTCTCTCTGCAAGTTGCCTTAAGTGCCACTACGTGGGACAATGAGCCACACCCAGTAGGTGTGAGGGGGTTAGACAAAGGCTCAGGGCTCTCTGGGATGTGGGGTTTGCTGTTGGGGTGCCAGCACACTGCTTCCAAAGAGGAAGCGGCAAGGATCCAAGTGGCAAGGATCACAGAATGCCCCAAAGAGGATCCCAAAGCTGCCTGTGCACAGGGAAAGCAGTTACAGTGTACACTACTTTGTACCAGTACAACTAACTGAGGCCAGGTCTACACTGTAAACTTTCATTGGTATACTTATGTTCCCTGAAAAATCCATCCATGCCCCAGCATTGCCTAACCCTCATTAAGACATTGCTACCTTGACAGGAGAACTTCATAGCCTTTCTGTTTTCCACTGTTGACTCTCTGTACCTAATGTGGTTTGCAGTTGTTATTCACTGATTTGTCAGTTTAATGTTGATTAAACTTCGTGAGGCCTGAACATTGTTGTCTGTATGATTGTAAGGTACCAGGCATTCCAACTGAAATATGGTACAATCCAATTACTGCTGATTACGCTAAAAGTTACGTGGAAGAAAGCCATGTATTAAAAAGTAATAATAATTAGTAAAAGTATAATTAATAATAAGCATTCATCAAAAATTGTTGATTGGTGTGGAGTATTAGGCAACTTTACAGTCTATAATTACCTTTTAAACAAAATAAAACATTTGTGTATATTCAAGAATACAAAGGAGGAAGATATGCTCTGCATTCCAAAGATTCAACAAGTTTCACTTCTTGTATTCAGGGATACCAAAGGCCAAAAAATCCTAATTTTAATATGTAATATATTCATGGGATATTTTAGTCACTTGAAACCATGAGCTTTGCTAAGTAAAACAACTTAGCGGTCATGTTTCTTTGTATTGTTCGAGACACTTTCTTAAGGAGCCAGTTAAGAGGCTAAAACTCTTTAACTCCTCTGTGGGATATGTATTGTCTCCTATTGGACAACAGCTTCCTTGTTCAAAATGCAGACCTCCAAGTTTGAGCTGGTGTCTGCTTCCTCAAATGTATTGAAACTGGATCAAAATATCACATGAATTATTATATATGTAAAAAACTACTAACCAAGTTATAGTCACAAGCCCACTGGCTGCTGATGGACTTTGTGCCCAGGAGCAGTTAAAACATGGCATCACCTGGTTATCTTCACCACCACCTAAAAATGCATTTTACATCATATTTCTTTACTATAAATTTCCCCAGTTGAGGGCATGTCTACACTACAGAGAAGACTGAACCGCCAGAGGTTAATCTTCTAGCATTCAATTTAGCGAGTCTAGTGTAGACCCCTAAATCGAACGCTCAGGGCAGCCCCTGCCAGCATCCTGTACTCCTCCTGTGAGGAGTAAGGGAAGCCAGCGGGAACATGTGCTCCCGTCAATCTCCCACAGTTGGACATGGATTAAGGTGCATCAACTCCAACTAATGTAGCTGGAATTGCATATCTTAGGTGGACCTCCCTCCACCTCTACCTAGTGTAGACCAGGCCTTAGAGTCTTCATAATTGTTTCTGTAATGCTACTAACTAGGTAACTGTATTAACTTGCCCCATGAAACCTATCTGCCTTTGAATAACCCATATACAGGAGTGAGTAAAACACGAGTAACATTTATGCAAGCTAACAATCCAGTTACCTTTTTACATGCATGCTGTAAATGCACAAATGGTTTATGGTCTTCCAATCCAAATTTATGTGTCACCTTTTTACATGCATGCTGTAAATACACAAATAGTTTATGGTCTTCAGATCCAAATTTATGTGTACATATCATTCTTGTATGTGAAAGAAATATAAAGTATAAATCTGCTTATCAATTTAAAACTTCTAGTGAAAGGCATTGGTAGTACCTAACTGTGGTTGGTCCTACAAAGACAAGTGACCATGTCACCTAGTGCTGGAATCCATCTTCAATTTAGTATTTTTCCATTTGGGATGTGGGAGAATGAAACAAAGAATTCTTGGCCTGGGAAAATTATATTTAAGAGATGGGAAGCAATCAATGATCAAGAGTATACAAAAGAAGCTATTGGATCCAGACCAGAGAAAAGGTCAGCTCTGACATGAAAGATTTTACCTGGAATAAGGATGAGGGTGAGAAATATATTTGTGATGTCTCTTAGGATACGTCTACACAGCAGCATTTTTTCAGAATAATTGATGTTATTTCAAAATAAGAAAATGCCTACACAGCAAGCCATAATTTCGAAATAATGTCAAGCTGAAGGACTTCTTACTCTGACTCCTGTTCTCACGAGTAAGGGAAGTCGAAGGAAGAGTGTTCTTCCTTTGACTTCCTGCTGTGTAGACAGCACCAAAAGCCAAATTAAGCTATTTCAACTTCAGCTATGCAATTGGCATAGCTGAAGTTACATATCTTAATTTGACTTTTGCCCTGCTGGGTAGACGTGCCTTGAGTGTATTAGGCTTAGCTGGCATGTTTTGTTTAATACTTGCTTTGATGGTGGGATTGATCCAGGGGCTGGGAGCTGGAGTGTCCTGGGGGAGGGGCAGAGGAGGGTTGAATAGTGGATGGGAGTCTTGGGGGCTAGTCAGGGTACTGGAAGAAAAGCAATCCCAGGGTAAGGGAGTGGGAAGCAGAGGGGGTTGGATAGAGTGTTGGGGTTCTGGGGATCAGGTGGGTTGGATAGCGGGGAAGGGCCATGCCATGCCTGACTGTTTGGGAAGGCACAACCTCCCCCAGCTTTTCCTACCTGGTCATCCATACAATTTCCCTACCCAATGTAGCTCTCAGGCCAAAAAGTTTTTTGCTGAACTAGCAGCATTCAAGCATTCAGCAGGCTTGCCACATCCCACCCTCCACTGCACCTCCGTCCTCCTCATTGTGACCTTCCCTGTCCCAACCTCCAACCCTCCATACCCCATACTCCCATTATTGCATCCCTCCCCGGTCCAGCTCCTGCCCCTTATACCTGTCACTGCATCCCTCCCCATCCCAATCCTCCATCTCCCTCACTACATCTGCCCCTCTGAGACTTTATTGTGCTAATGTTTGCCTTGGGAGTGCAACAAAACAGCAGCTGCTCATATTACATCAAATGAACAAATACACAGTTTGTAACCACAAACTCATAATCACTGCTTCTCTGGGAAGCAAAGGGCATTACTATGTGATATTCACACAGCTCAGTGTATCTTCTTATTGCCCTTCATATCCACATAATGTAGCAATCTTTGGGGCTTTTTGTTCGTTTTTAAAAGTATGTAGCACGTACACTTTCCAGTTACTCATGTTGGCAATGTGTATATAATTCCTGGGTGGCTGATGGATTGGTAGTACTAGTGTGACAATAAAAGCAAGAGTCTGAGCCTAGCCTCTGGTATCTCATTACTTGGTTTGACAGGCTTAACTGTATTGGCCATGTAACTTAGGTGGAGATCTCAAGGGGAGAGATGATGACAGCCTCTGTCTGCATGAAGGCTATTTGATGACTCAACTATTTACAGACAACTCATACACAGTTCTTCATACAATGATTCTCTAAATACAGGGGCACACACTAAACTGCCACTTAGTGCTGCTTTTGTTATTTTCATTTTCCCTCTCACTATATAATCTAATTATGGACAGTGTATGAAGTGCTACTACCCTGCTGGTACAGTACAAATAAACTAATAATTCACAAGTCTGCGGCACTGACTGCATAGCCATTTAGAGGAGATAGCTCATGGAGCGATGGGAAATCAGGTGAACTGTAGAAAGGAAATTACACTTCACCCTTCGGCAATCAAATGTGATTCTCCCAATTCCTGATTCTAGTCAGTCCCATGTAATTGCAAACAGACTCACATTTGAATGCATGTTTCCAGTGGAGTCCTGCAGAGATCTGTTCTTGGCCCTACACTATTTAACATTTTTAGCAATGACCTAAGAAAAAACAGAAAATCA